GTCTGTGAGCCGACGGCAGCTGTTCCAGCTGCTCGGCTCTGCTTCGTCCTGTTGTTGCTGCAGTGATGCTCCAGATGTTCGCAGCTCTGGACTGCAGTCTGCAGTTTAGCACGGCCCTGCTCGAACACATCTGGATGTTGCTCTCAAACCTCCTTATACCTTTCAGCCTTTCCAGATGTGCCAGCTTCCAGGTCCAGTTCCACAGGCACTGGTTTCTAGTCCCAGTGACTTTTCAGCCTTTCCAACATGTTAGAGAGGATTGGTGGATAACGTGGATTTATGAGACCTGCAGGTCATTGCATTCTGTTTTTATTTACATGTGATACAGCATCCTGACTTTTCCAGAATTGGGATTGTGCACCCACTGGACACTTTATTAGGTACATCTTGCTAGTATCCGCTCTGCTTCCACTCGAACGTGCTCTGCTGTGGAAGTCGTGTCATGTTTGAGAAACCAGTTTGTGAGCAGCTTTGTGACACGGAGCGTCACCCTGCTGGAAGCGGGATAGTACACCGTGGGCACATCAGGATGGACGTGGAGATGAAACACGGCGTCGCAGCAGCGCGTTGATGCAGGTAAACTCTGACCTGCTCTCTGAACGTTGCAGCAGGAAATCAGACAGTTTTCCATCTTCTGTTGTCTGTTTGGAATCAACCCTTGATTTAAACGCTCACTCGAGTCCAGGTTTAATAAAAATATTAAACTTATCAGCAAACACTACCCCCCACACCCACATCACCAACCTGAGCCCCGGTCTGAGGAACCCTCATCACTCAGACCTTTTGCACTTCCTGTGAACACTTTGTTCTGCGATGTGTGCCTTTCTGTAGTTTTTGTATGCGGCCTCCTGTTTGTTCTTTCTATTCTGAATAAACAATGAGAGGCTGCTAACCTCAGATGAATGTTAATGACTGCCCTTCATCATGAGCACTGATGAATGTTACTCCTGCTTCATCCTCCTTTCTGAGAATAATCGGAAACACGTCTGAGGTGGAACTGTTCCAGCTCTGCTTTGGCTGTTCACAACTCGCAGCGTGCGCACCGCTGTGACGTCTTTACGGAGATGCCGAGGACCAAACAATAAAGAGGACAGAGTTATGTAACTCCCAGCAGGTCAAAGGTCGTCTGAAATATTAATTAGAAAGTTGTGCAGGCTCGGGTCTCCTGCTGACAGCTCACCGTTTAATCTGCTGATGAAAACCAGAACGAGCAGCGCTGCTTTAAACTGCAGAGCCTAATGTAGCACGTAAGCAAGGCTTTGAATAACTGCATCACACGTTCAAGTATTGTAACAACGAATATTAAATACACTATGTTAGGCTGGCTGGTGTGTCACAGGCGCAGTAATTAACCTGTTTGCTCTTTTCTCTCTGGCTCGTTCTTCCACTTCCTGTGTTGGAGACTCGTGCTAAACATCAAAACAACAGGATGTGTCCTCAGTAAACTTTGTCATGGAAATAAGGCGTTCCTCAGGGCTCCGTTCTTGGACCTCTGAGTTTTGAAAGGGTGCGGTGACCTTTGAACCTTTAAAGGAAACCTGGGCAGGTGTAGAAACCGAGCCGTGCTGCTGCAGCC